AAAGTTTTACACTACCTTTTGATGAGATTTATGGTATTTCCACTTAGCTTCTTAGTAATTAAGACACAAGTTGTGGACATTTATTCAAGGCTGCGAGTTATTTAATTTCAGAGGTCTCTGGCCATGGAAGAGAAAACGGAATTGTTGATTCTACACCTAAAATTCCACATAAAACAGTGAGTAAGAAAGTTGGGCAACTGGCTTTTAATGAAGGAGCAGCATCCAGATCTGGTATAGCTTCTCAGACAGCATCAGGTGTATTATCTGGCTCAGGTGTTTTAAATGCTAGACCTGGAAGCACGACTTCATCAGGGTTACTCTCCAACATGGTATCAACAATGAATGCGGATGCTGCCAGGGAGTACTTGGAAAAGGTTGCAGATCTACTTCTTGAGTTTGCTCAAGCAGATACAATTGTTAAGTCCTACATGTGCAGCCAAAGCTTGCTCAACCGGCTTTTCCAGATGTTCAATCGCATTGAACCACCTATTCTTTTAAAGGTACATAAACTATATCACTTTCAATTCCCTTTTCCTTTCTTCTTTGTATTAACTAGTCATATTTTTCATAGATACTGAAGTGCATTAATCATTTGTCCATGATCCAAACTGCTTGGAGAATCTTCAACGAGCAGATGCTATTAAGTATTTGATCCCAAATCTAGAACTCAAAGATGGGCCTCTTGTTTCTCAAATACATCATGAGGTTTGCCTATATACTTTGATCCTTATGCCTAATGATGCATTTGCTAGAAAATTTGATATGTCGTCTTCCCTCTTCTACTTGAGTTATCATCTGAGCTTATCTGAGGCATCACATTATTTCATAATGAGTTGCACCTGATTTTAATCTAACTCCTGCTAACTTTATCTATATATTATTTCCCTTACTATTTTGGGCTGTTATCTCTTGGGTTTAATTCTAATGTTGATGAATTTAGTAGATAATATGATGGTGGCTACCTGATGTTTGAAAAGTTTTCAGTTTCTTACCATAGATCGTCTTTGGAGTTTGTAACCACTAGCAAACTTCTGTTTTTGCTAAATAAATCTAAATTGCCTCTACTTTTAATGTACTAATTTCTTGTTACTTTGCAATTTTCTGTTCCTTTTTCTTCTCTCATGAGACGTGTATTTTCTCCCCATTGCTCTCTTCTGATCCAAATATCCACATGTATACTATTGATTAGTGCTGAGCCTTGAGGGAGGGTAGTATGTATGCTATGCATACCGGCTTCTTTGTTTTTAGCCTATTAATTATACTATTTAAGCCCTTTTTCCTTCTCTTTTGATTGGTAATTGGTAATGCATGTACTGCAGCTTTAAATCTCAAACCAAATTTACGTTTGAAGTTCTCTTATCTGATTGTGATTCTTTTTAAATCGGGATAAATTTTTGCTCTTTTGAGAGGTGCCACCCATTATTCTGATAAGTTCTGACTTACGTTCTGAAGGTCCTCAATGCCCTGTCAATTTGTGCAAGAAATAAGAGGAGACAGGAACAAGCAGCGGAAAATGGAATATTCCACACTTGATGAATTTTATCATGTCAGATTCTCCTTTAAAGCAAAATGCATTGCCGCTACTGTGTGACATGGCTCATGCATCACGTAATTCGAGGGAGCAATTGAGGGCCCATGGTGGATTGGATGTGTACTTGAGTTTGCTTAATGATGAAGTATGGTCTGTGACAGCATTAGATTCAATTGCTGTCTGCTTGGCTCATGACAACGACAACCGCAAGGTGGAACAAGCTTTGCTGAAGAAGGATGCAGTTCAAAGATTGGTGAAGTTTTTCCAGTCTTGTCCGGATCAACACTTTGTCCACATATTGGAGCCATTCTTGAAAATTATCACGTACGAGATACTACATCCTCCGTTTATTTCTTAGTATTTGAAGCCATTCTCATCAATTTCACAGTTCAAATTCAAATTAATTCTATACTTGCATCGATGCATAGAAGTTGGCTATGCTTCATTTTTCAAAAAGCTTCAACCTCCTCTGTTTCTCTCACCTTTTTCTTTAGACATTTAAGCGATCAATGTGTGGAAATTTTGCTAAACTGACCCCATTTATTTCTGGTGTGTAGGAAATCATCTCGATAAACACGACATTAGCTGTTAATGGTTTGACACCCCTGCTAATCTCAAGATTGGATCACCAGGATGCTTTTGCTCGTCTTATTTTACTTAAATTAATTAAGGTAAGTATGACCCTTTCTGCTGCCAGAATCTGTTTCGACTGATACCAATCTCCTTATAAACTTGTTTTTCTATGTCCATTAAGATTGTTTTCTCGAAGCCTCTACTGTAAGGATGTCTATCATGAATATCATTGTGATTTTTATTTTTGCAGGCTGTTTATGAGCACCCCCGCGACCAAAACAATTAATAGTGGAGAACGATTTACCGCAGAAGCTTCAGAATCTAATCGAAGAACGCAGAGATGGGCAAGTGCTGGTGAAACAAATGGCTACTTCGTTGCTCAAAGCCCTTCATGTTAACACCGTCCTGTAAGTTCATGCATTCCAAAGTTCTCCCTGTACGTATATTTCGACTCGTAAGGCGTGATTTTCCTTTCACCGTTGGTTTCGCCGAATTTTCGTTTCCCGTAGTTTCTCTAACGCATCAAAAATATTAACGATGATGGGGTGGAGGCAACTGGATATAGGAAACACTTTTGATTTTAGTTGGCTCACTTAAAAGGTCTTGGGAGTGGCTTTTGTTTTTGTTGTCTAGACCGTTCCTTGTGTCTAGCTTTAAATTCCAATGATTTGGTTCCAGTTTTGTGTGTTTAATTTGTAAAATGGAAAGCTTTGATATATGCAAAACATGAAATGGTGAGTCTGACAGAAGTTTATGGCTTGAACGTAAGTCATTAATGCTGAAGTGTGTTAATGAAGCATTAATACCTTTATATATATACATAGAGGAAGATTGGGGAGGATTTTTTTTTAAAATGTTTGGATTGAAAAATGATTAAAAAGTTATTATTTTAAATAAATTAATATTTTTATAATTTTTTAAATAAATGATAAATATGAAATTAATAATATTTTTAAAATAATAAAACGTTATTATTTTTAAATAAAATGATAAAATTATATTTTACCATTTTAGGTGTCATCGTTTAATGAGTGAGTTCGCGTAAGAACATATTTTTATATCAACTTTTTTCACCCATAATATGAAAAATGATAAATATTTTATCATTTTAATAATAATGTTTTTTATCTTATTTTTATATGATAATTAAAAAAGTTATCGTTTAAGGATTGGACATGCGATTCATAGATTTATACAGTTATCCAATCGTTTATTTAATTTGTTAAATAAATTTTTATGGATATATATTTTACATAAAAAGTTATCTCACTTACTCTACCAATTAAAAAAACTAATAAAAATATAAATCATAAATATGTTCATGATACAATTAATGTTAAGAAATTACAAGCTATTTATATTAGGTTTAATATAAAATAAATGTCAAAATTACATTTCCTTTTTCATTCAAGTTTTTAAATTTTTTCGGTCAATATAGGTGTTTAGCGTCACAAACTTAGCTATTTTAATTGTTTTTATCGTAATGATCGTAAAATAATTTGTTAAACGACATGTGTTTTGTTTTTCTTTTCAAAATTTATTTTTTTCCTTAGAAAAGTAAAGTTATTATTATTTTAAAAAACCCTAATATTTTCTAAAGTTTCAAAAGCACCCCCAAATGTTTTGTTTATGGGCACTGCACTGGTAAGCCACGGCCGCAACAACCTTGAGTTGGTGACGATGAGCCACTCCTGCTGCTTCCGGTGATGAAATTCAGGCTGTGGAAATTCGGCCTTCAACCGAAACGACTGAAAGGATTGACAATATTGCAAAGAGTTAGAGAAACTCGAAACCTTCAATGACTGTTCAATGAAATTGTAACCAGTTTGGAGAAATGGTAAAAGCCATGGAAATGGATACTGCAAGCAAAAAACAGGCAGCTTTGAATTGGGTACTGCAGATCAACTACTTCAACTAATTTCCTCACTAAAGTAATCATTCTTTTTTTTTTATGTGTGATGAAATCACAAGCAGTTCAAGGTAGGTCGTTAGCCATGGTAGCTATTTTTATGAACAAGATGGATTGATTCTAGCAGCCACCCTAAACCCGTGCGAAATAGGGATTTAAAATCCATTTCCTAGTACCGCCAAAAACCATATATAGTGTCGTTCGAAAATCATTTGTAAAACCCCAATGCTGTGAAAATCATTTGATAAATTGGTCATACGCAGCTGGGAGATGGGGCTGCTGGAGGGGTGGGATTAAGGGGATACGAAGAGTATTTGTGGGGGCTGATGGTAAGGGATTTATGGATTATGATTTTAGGGTTTGGGATGTTTTTAAAATTTAAGAAATATTTCGAGTTTTTTTCCTGAAAATAATAATAATTGTACTTATTTTTAAAATTTATACATATTACATGTCATATTTTAAGTGATTAATGGTATTTTTTTAACAGTAGTTAAGGCGTAAATATTTAACATGATGGTAACATTTATAATCTCATACTTATGTTCATCGAAAAGAAATTAGATACCTAAATGAAATATATATATATATAATATATATATATATAATATATAGTTTGAGCACTTATTTTAATATTAAATCTTTATATAATTGTTTTTTTGTTGGCAAAACTGTATATTATTATTAAGCCTTAGAGTTGATGTCATTTACCGACCATATGCCAATTCAGTTTAAAATTTATTAAAATAAGTTTCCTTTACATATTGATATTAGTATACATTTCTTATATTTTTTATGTAATTTTTAAAAATCATGTTTTAAATAAAACATATTTTATTAAGTAAAATATATTCTTTCATCAACTCAACAGCATGACATAATATAAAATCTACTCATTAATAAGCAAAAAGGCTCAGGTACAACCGCCTTAACATGCATATAAGGAAAGACGTTACCTAAAATATTATTTTTTTCTACCGAAAATATTAATATTGGACGTTACCTAAAATGTTTAACATTTCTGGTAAAGTACTACCTAAAATATTATTTTTTTTCTACCAGGAAATATTAATATTGGGTTCTATCGAAAATTAGTTAGTGAAATTAACATTTCCGCTAAAAAAATATTTTATATAGCACTTTACGAAAAATGTTAAAAAATATTAATATTTTTTATAAGACCTTTCTTTAGTCGTATATTAAAACTGTCGGATACCGGAATTACCCAACAAAAGGGTGTATATATCAGCAAAATGGGTCATCCCGTCATGAACAATTCACAAAAAGGGTCTCCCATGAATTATAATATATTCTCCACTGACCCATATGCCAAAAATGAAGAATCATCGAAGTTATTTGTTTCTGCTTTTCTGGTAGGATCGTAAACTAGTAAAATCGAGTTTGAGTATTGTTAAGTTTGGTTTAATTTGAAAAAGTATAAAATTAAGTTCTCTTGAATCGAATTAAAAATTAAAGCTCGATTTGGCTTAAAAGCTAGCGAGTTTAAAATCTTTAAATTCGACTCGAAATCACAAATTAAAGTTCTACTCGAGTTCGAAAAAATTTAAACTCGAAATATTATTAAACTTAACTCAATTGAAAATCAAATTTAAATCTGAACTTATGTACACGAAAATTTTATATTGTATTTAAAAAAAACAATATATAAATGTTAATATTATTAATAGTATAATTTAAAAACTCTAAAAATTAAATATATTATTTTTTTCGAGGGATATTAAATAGTTAGTTTCGGTTCATTAAGAATTCGAGCCGAGTTCAAGTCCAATAAGTCCATTAAATTTGAAAGTTAACCAAATTTTGACCGAATCAATCTCTAATAACTCGGGATCTATGTTCTCTCATTTACAGCCCTAGTTTCTGGAAAGTGATCAGGTGGCTGCCCTACTTCAAGCTTAACTGGATCCACAATTTACTTTCGTTAGTTTCGAAGTTGCAGAAACTAAATCATCATTAAAAAAAATGAAACCATGAGATAGTGATAGCAGACCTCAAATTATAAGAAACAGTAGAGTACCTTAACCTTCTTCTTGTGTTTAAATGATTTGTGAATGAGGAATCCGTTCATGTTTCCCACGACTATCTTGAGCTTCATCCTCTTTTACATGACGAAGAAGACAAGTTCAAGAAAGCCGTGGAAAAGCATGCTAACGAACCCTTTCTTTCTCTCTTTCACTCCATCCGTTCATTACATGCAACTCTCTCTCTCTCTCTCTATATATATATGTACATAAAGAAGAAGAAATGGTTGAAGGGAACGTATACGTGAAGAAGAGTGAAAGCATTGCTCATAAGAGAGATGAATGGTGGAAGAAAGAAACCAAAACTAAGAGAAAAAAGATAAAAGAAAGGGGGGAAGGGAGTGGTTATGGAGTTGTGTGATCATCAAACTGAAAGTGATTCCCTCTAGGAGTGCGGTTATACGGCACGTGCGGCTGACGAGTGGTTACCCCACGCGTGTCTGGTCCAAAAAAAGGTATGGTAGACCGTACAAGGGATGGAGGGCACGGCACGGCTAGAACACTTGCTGGTGGGGGCTAACTCTTCCTTCCTGCAACTCTTGCTTTGCAGTACCTCTGCAGATTGCTACCTATTTGGTGCAGCTTAAATAGTAACATATTTATATTCCAATAATTTGCTATAATCATATTACGTATTCAGTTTTTATTTTTATATTTTTAATAATGACAATGATATTTTATTAATAAAAATAATAGAAGCAATCAGAATTATAACGCACGTGAAAGGAAAAATGATACAATAGTCACTAAAAATTCATAAAAACAAAAATATTGAATCCAAAGATACGAAGAAGAACAAAAATTTAACTTGAGAATGACGTGCGACATCAAAAGAACTTAGTAACCATCATAAAATTTCATTGTCTCTGTTGAACGAGACACTTTACCAAGTGATAAATGAATGGCAAGCGAACCTAATTATCTGAAAGGTTGCTTCGCTACACAATTATGATTATATCGGTAAACAACCTTTTATTAAATAGATGATCTGATTATATGTGACCACCGATAAGCCAATCTAAAAATAAATGTTAGTGAGGGTCTTTGTACGAGCATCAAAACGACCTCAAAGGTATGTGATAAGCGTAGTAAAAGTCCTAAAGAACATACCACAAGAGCAAAGAAAGTGCATGTCACGAGAACATAAATTTTGAAAAAAAAATCAAGAAAAAAGAAAAAAATTGACATTATATGAAAAAACAATAGAACTAATACCACCAAAGGTTAGTGACAAACCTTAAAATTAGTATCGTCACTAACTAAATAAAAAAAAAGAAGAGAAAACGACATAAAAATATTGAGAGAAAATATAAATTAA